ATAAATTATTATAATTTGTAATCAACCTTTATTTTATATATTTGTTTTATTAGGTAGCGCGTCCGCTGACTATACGAACAAATTCCCTAAAGACACGCCGTCGAGATCTTGCTGGCGCGTTAATTAATCGTGGTGTCAATCTCGATCCACTAGGCAAGTGGACAAACGTGGGCCTTGTCATATTTAATTCCACTGTTCCACTGGGCGCCACGCCCGAGTATCTAGCTGGACATTATATGATACAGGGCGCTTCGTCGATGCTGCCAGTGATCGCATTGGCCCCGCAGGAGAACGAACGAATCCTAGATATGTGCTCCGCACCTGGGGGCAAGGGATCACATATAGCTGCCGTTATGAAGAACACGGGAGTGTTATTTGCCAACGATGCGAATAGGGATCGGATCAAGGCCGTTGTGGCCAATTTCCATCGCTTGGGCATTGTGAATGCTATTGTCAGCTGTGAGGATGCGACCAAATTTAGAAATATAATGACAGGCTTTGATCGAGTACTGCTCGATGCGCCTTGTACTGGCACGGGTGTGGTCTCAAAGGATCCGAGCGTTAAAACGACTAAGTCAGAGATCGATGTGCAGCGTTGTTATAATTTGCAGCGCAAGCTTTTGCTTACCGCTATTGATTGCGTGGATGCCAAATCTTCCACTGGCGGATATGTTGTATATTCCACTTGTTCAGTCTTGCCCGAGGAGAATGAATGGGTCATTGATTACGCTCTCAAGAAGCGAAATGTAAAGCTGGTGCCCCTGGGTATTGATTTTGGTGAGCCTGGTTTTACCAAGTTCCGCCAGCATCGCTACCATCCCAGCTTAAATTTGTGCAGGCGATTTTATCCACATACAAACAATATGGATGGCTTCTTTGTGGCTAAGCTGAAAAAGTTTTCCAATACCATACCTATCACTAAGGAGCAACAGGAAGCGGATGAGAAGCAGCTAGATGAAGCACTTGCATCAGATCAGACTGAATCGAATGATGCAGAAACTAAGGCAGCGGAGGCAGTGGAAGTCACTGAAGGACGCCGAAAAGCCCTTGGAAAGCGTGCTGGAAAGCCCAGTCTTACAGACGTAGAACATGATTTAAAAAAGAAAAAGCTTGAACAAAGTAAGACGAAATATATAGCTAAGGTGTTTGAGAAGCCAATCAAAGTGTCCAGCAAATCGAAGCCAGAGCGAACGTTGCCTGTTTCCGAAGAGAAGGAAGAAAAAACCTCCGCAGCTTCCTCAAAGGTCCAATCGAAACAGCCGACACCACAATCGAATGGAAATAAGAAACAGAAACCTTCGAAAAATGAAGAGCAATCACCGCCACAAAAAAATGGACAAAAAGCGAAACCAACATCGAAAATAGCAAAGAAACTTTCCCAGGCGCCTCGAGTGGACATTGATGAATTGCCATTGCTAGAAGGAAAGCCCATTAAAAAGGAAAACAAACTGAAAAACAAATCTAAGCAGCTGGGACAGTTGAAAAAGTCCAAGAAGTCAGCGGACAGTAAAAGCAAGCAAAGGTTTAAAAAATAATCATGAATTGGAATTAGTTTAATGAGTCTTATTAAAAACTTTATAGTTGGTTAATTGCGTTGCTTAAAATATGTAATAGGCTTACTTTAGAGTCCATCTGCGCAACCAACCAATGCGAATTATTTGTTTTTATAATAAGTGCAAACAGTTTGGATTATAAATATTTTTATAATCAACAACAATAAAATGTATTTTATTAAAACTTGCAAATCATATATATTTTTATCTCAATGTATATAAATATGTATGTACTATATAATATCACCATGTACTATATTTTTGTACATGAATTGCAGCTCAAATGCAGATAAGGCTCAGGCCTTGGATGGACCGAATGTAACATTTCATGTTCAGTACGAAAAGTGCGAAGTAGCCGAAATGTTGAGAACTATTTTTGGTGCATTATTGTGCACTGCTTTGACTGTGTCTCAAGGCAAAGCGGATATTAACCTAGCCACTATGCACAGCATCCGATCGAATCTGGATCGTCGAGTTTCACCCTGCTCGAATTTCTGGGCGTTTGCTTGTGGCAATTGGTCCTCCAACTACGTGGACAACTTTCAACTGGCGGAGCAGAGATATGCCAACGCAATGATCGCGGTGCTAACGAGCAATCGCCTAAGGGATCCTCAACGCCTCTTTAAGCAGCTTCAAGACTACTTCACGGCATGTGTTCGTCACCCAGAGGAGCAGATACAGCTGCCACTGGAACTCCTCTCGGGCGATGCCTTCGAATGGACACGTGCAACGGCCAGGATTCGCAAATATGGATTAAATGGCGTTTTCTTTGACGAGATGGCCGATGTTGCTTATAACGACTCGCTCAGCTATGTAGTGCAGCTCAAGATGCCGGTGGCTGATAACAATCACTCGGTGAGTAATCGTACGAAATATTTCATTATTATTTCATATTATTATTTCTTATATAGCTCTCAAATTAACAAATTCGACTGCCCTTAATTGCAGCCTCTGAGGCCTGAGACTCGGCTGTTGGAGAGAGATCTGCGTGTATTGCGCGAGAAATACGGCAATGAGGAGCCGATGCTCCAGCTGTGGACGCTGAGCAAGCTCAATAAGGAAATACCGCAAATCGAGTGGCAAGTATACTTCCAAGAGCTGCTGGAAAGGGAGCCAGGTCAGCTGCGCGTGCAGATTAGTGATGTGGAGTATTTCCGAAAACTGGGCGAGCTGCTGAGACAAAGCAGTAACACAGCTGTGGAGTTGTATCTAAGTGAGCGTCTGGCTCAGTTCGTAAAGGAAGCCAAGCCGGACTCAACCTCGGAGAGTTGCATACATCACATGAGTGCGGTGCTTCCCTTGGGCATGAACCACATCTACGATCGCTATGTGTACAGAACACGGTCGGAGGATATGCGTCAGCTGCAGCAGCTGTTTGACAGCTTGCGCGGAACGTTTGCTAAGTACCTGGAGCACAATCGATTGGAACTAAGCTATGAGCAGCTAAGCTATCTGCACGCCAAGCTGGCGGGTATGCAATTGAAACTGGGCAATCTGCCCAACCTCACGAGCGCTGATTATGGCTTTTATAATGACCACTACGCGAGTGCAAACTTCTCGGCTGTCAGTTTTGCGCAGAACTTCTGGCAGGCTCTGCGCCTGCGTACGCGTCTGCAGCATCTACCTGTGGGGCAACCAGGTGCCACCTTGCAGCTGAAGTACTACTATGTGAACGACGATTTGGTCAGAGCACGCAATGCGCCCTATTTTGAGCATGAGCGGAATACGTTGACCGTTCCACTGGTCTTTATTCAGTGGCCCTTCTACGACCATCGCCAACATCCCATTTTCCGACATAGTCTGATGGGCTTCATACTCGGCCACGAGCTCAGCCACGCCTTCGAGCAAGAGGGCATACTTTTCGATGCTGCGGGCAATGAGGCGCTACTTGGAGTGCGGATACGCCAGAAAGCCAAGTTCCAAGCTGCCTTAAACTGTGCCCAGCACTCATCGACAGCATCGCTGAAGGAGCGATTGGCGGACCTCAACGGTCTCCAGCTGGCCTATGATACATTCTTCGGCCTGGCGCATGACTCGCAGCGGTTCGAGTATCGGCCATATGACTTTGAGCAGGAGTTCTTGGCACCACAGATCTTTCATCTCAATTTCGCGCAGTTCTTTTGCGGCCGCCTGCCAACGGCCATCAACCATGACATGGACGATGTGCGGGTCAATGAGGCCGAACTAAATTTGCATCAATTTTCCATCGATTTCAGTTGCACACGGCATCAGTCGGACTCAATCGGCTGTGAGATGTGGCGCGCTGAAAGCCATGAAAAGTAGGAATGCGATTGGAGCTTTCTATAAAACTGTTTAAATGATATTCATATTTAATGTATTTCATAAATAGAAGTTCAACCAGCTGGTTTAATGACTTCACCTATGTATGTATATTGAACACATTAAAGATTTCAATAAAAATTAGCCTGATTGAAGTCAAGTTACCAACTTAACAAGCATAACTTACTGTCTTTAAAAGCTTTCAGAATTGACTAAGATAACCCCTTAAATATAATAAAGCAAGAGATTGTTCGGCTTAGCATTCTTTTGAATAAATTATTGATTCGCATTGTTTTCCATATCTCATTCATATTTCTGAGTATCTTACGCCTCTCTATCAAAATGTGTTTATTGATACGCTTTTTACACAGGGTGCTTATTTGTTGTTATTGTAGCAATAAGTAATCGGCAAAAAGTATTAACGGCCCATTCAGTTTGATTGTCAATTGCGGGTTTCATGTTAAGGCATAGTCAACGACATCGTCATACTCGCTGTCTATTGAATGCAAATTCCAAGGCATTCTAGACAAGCTATAATAACTGGCTTGAGAGATACTCTGTTTCCAAAATGTCTCGAAAGGAAGAGAGTTTCTTCGGCATTGAGTCCTGACTGTATTAACTTAGGCACAAGCAGATGTAACTATGTTGAGGTTTGGAGCAAACAAAAGCATACTGTGCGAAGCCAATATGCTCACGTTCACAATTCGGTAAGAAGTATATGCCGGTCTCAGTTAGGCGAAAGCTTTAGCTCTCTGTTCCACACACAGACACACTGCCAAACCTAATCAGGTTGCCATAGCCACAAGTTGTTGCGAGCTTCGCACAGTGGAACTGATTGGAACAATATGCAAATTCATTTAAATTTAGAGGGTAATATGAATACAAATATTTTGAGGTAACACTCGGTTTGGTGTGAGTAAATATTAAAATAGAAATTTTGTTTATATTCGAATTTACAATGACGACTACAGATTAATTTAAATATTGGAATAATTAGTCTTTGATGTATTCCACTGCATTTCGCAATAATTTGTATATTTGGCCCATTGTGCGTCGTGTCGAACGAGTCCTGTGTTTTCGTTATTTGTGGGCGTCGTCAGTGCAAAGTTTGATTGTGTTTGGGCTTTGCTCCCGCACCGTAAGAAACCGAACGACCAGACGCGAAAGCTCCCTCCCGGACGTAGTACATCGCTGTCATTTGCCGTCATTGGACGTGAGCTTAGCCACGGCATCGTCGGTTGATTTCGTTATCTTGATTGCGAATCTCGTCGCAGCCTCCGCAACCTTTATAAAATTATAGATTCCAAAACGGATTCACGAAACTCCCAAACAAAACAGAAAACACAGTCATAAAAAAAAACAAAAAATAAATAAATAAATAAAAATAAATAAATATATAAAAAAGAAGAAATGTAAATAAAATGTTCAAAAGTATAAAATAAGTGAAAATTCTACATAATTTTGCATTGCATTTAATTTGTGATCAAATATCCATTTTTATCATTTTGCTATCTGCAATTAAACAAATTGTACGTTTGCGTGCGATCCCAAAGTAAATGTGATCAACAGCGGCGCGTGAGTTTTGAATATATGCTATAAATATATATACATATATATGTAAATATATAGTAATAATAGTTGATATGTGTGCGAGTTAAGTAATAAAAATGATAAAGGCGATAAACATTTAAGGCAGACACCATGTGAGCAAGTGAGTAGATGTGGGTGAGGCGGTAATTTCAAAATTTGTTTCGAGTTCGGACCTTTGGATGGAAAGACTCTCAAGAGCGGCCGATTTCACACTTAACTTATAACAACAACAAACAAAGAATCGCCTCAATTCAGAATATATAGACTGCATTAGCACATTGGGCAAATAAACAACCAATAAAAATGATCTTTTCTTAACCAACTGGGTTCGAGCGCCCTGGCAACTGTTGATCACTTAGCAGATCGCCCCATTGGCACACAATAAGACTTTTAAATTGATGAATAAACGTCTGATTAGCCTCTCCATATAAACATTTTCAAACGCAAACGCACAAAAGCCAACCCAAAGTCAACCCAAGCCAATTGAAGCTATTTTTGTGGGCCTTCCCTTTCCTCCAATATTTTCGTCAATATAACTTGCCAAGTTCAAGTGAAGCAATCTTCTCTATGGATGTTTTTCACATACATACGTACATACAAGTATATACAGTTTTCGCTATATATGTTATATATAATACCATCTATCTATCCCCTTCACTCTTCGTTACAGTGGCTTTTGTGTTGTTGTTATTGTTGTTGATCAAAGATAAACAATGTAAAAATTTGCAGTGAGTTCTTAGTAGCCTCCAGTGTTTAAAATAAACATTAAATAAAATTCGAAAAAGTTGCAGAATTAACAACACAACTAGACAGAACGCTAACAACGATATTTCAAATTAAAAGAGTAGCGAAGTAAAAAATAGAGAGCCACGAGACGGTGTCGACTACGAGATACCCTCTGGTTACTTTGATTTAGTTAATTGAAATAAAATCTTATTAAATAAAATAAAATCTTATTAAAATATGCCAAAGCTAACAATAATTATTATTTCTCGCAGAGCCAGAGTCACAAACACTGTGGCGACTTCCACAATTTGTGTAGGGTGTGTAGGAAATTGTAGAGCCAACTTATTTGTTTATAGCTCTAGATTTTCAATTATTAAGTAAATAGAAATATTTAATTATACTTAAGTGCGGAGAGGCGAATAGGCGAAGCTGATAGCTAAATGGATTTCTGAGTGCGAGTGCAAAATATTTCGCGAATGCATTAAAACAATTGAGTCCACTTAGTTCTGAAGAGCAATCAGTGCACCTAGTGTACGGTAGCTGCAGCTTACTCTAAATGCAATACAGGGTGGATGCCACGCCCCTATTAGACTGATTGAATTCAATGGTACTCCATTAGTTGAGGCAATTGCCTCGGCTGTGATAGCTGCCGTTGCTATCTGGACATGAATGCAGCCACAACCATAGACATTGCTAAAGAGATAAAACAAGCTCTGGAAGGGCTTCTGCAAGCTCATGAATTTGTTCGTGAAATTACATATTGTTTACGTGGTCTTCCCTGCGAATTGTGGTTTGGGTGCGTGTCCGTGTTGCCTGCCGGCAGGCAAGCCCAAACGAGCAGGCAATAAGGATTCCTGCAGCTTCTTTTGATATTTATATAATAATTGCAAATGAAATTTTCGACTCAGCCCACGTATCAGTTTCACATGAAACAACTTTGCACGCAGGCAGCCCTTATCTGAGTGTTGTACAGAATTTGTTTGAAGTTTAAACCATGTTTAGAGATTTCCTTTGCCATCGCATATGAAATGAACAGGCGCGCCAAATTGCTACCTCGGCGTATACTTGATGCTGTTGTTGCTGATGGCGATGGTGTTGTTGCTTTCGTTGCTATTGTTGTTGTTGGTGCTGTCGATGTCGGAAAATGCGCATACGCCGCGTGGGCCATGCAGCGCCATTTATTGAGTCTTAGCATTGTTGTTTAAGTTTGTAAACTTATGGCTATATAACCACAGGCGCATGCATTCTAAATGTGTGTGCTTGTTTTCTTTGGCTTTAATTTGTTTGCCTTTTGTGTGCCTTGACTTGAGCGAGTCGATTGCGTTGAGGCAGGAAAACAGTCACTCAATCGGGCAATGGGGCAGCCGGTCGAACAATTGGAGAGTCGCCTGTCCGGCGTGCAAATAAGCAATTTATTTGCTTTCCGGCATCCATAAATATCGATCATATCGCCCGACTGCATCTGGCTTTGATTTGCACCCTTCCATTCCAGCTGACGACGCTTTCAGCTCCAATTGCAATTGCTTTCGTTGGGGCTTTATTCATTCATAAAATTGTTGCTTGCGACCTTTTCAGCATTTACGTGGCTTTTATTGCGCTGTAGCCGACAAATGGCATTATGGCATAAGGCATGAGGCACAGGGCATATGGCATATGGCATATGGCACGCCTAATATGCAGCCCAAAGGCCGATAATGGCTACAAAACAGACATATAATTGATAGGGTCTTATGATAGCAGTTGGCGATTCGGCATTTTCTTTGTCATTGCAGCAGTGATACTACCCTCGATATATGGCATATAAATAATGTTCCTCATGTGTGCAATGCCAGTATATATAGAATTACCTATTTGGCGTTCATTTGTTTTGACACTTAATAAATCATTTACAGATCGCAACCTGGCAAACAAAATTATAGCGCTTACTGGCCATTTCAGACAACAGGGAATATTATTTGCTCTATTTACACATTGGAGGCAGCTGCGAAGGCTGTTTATTTGCATTCAGCTTTAGCTGTTAATTGTGCGCATTAGCAGCCAAATTAGCCGCCTCTGCCTCTGCCTCAGCCGTTGCTTTAATGGAATGGCAAACCTTAACTACAAAATAAAAATCATAATCTAACGCACCCGTGCAAATATTGCGCTTGTTTGCCCCGTAGCATCATAAATAAATCGCAGCTCGCCAAATATTTAATCGCGGCATACGCCACAAACTGGCATTTGGAAATCGGCTGCCTATCTCAGCGTCTTCCCAGTGATGGAACAGCATGTCCACGCCTAAAGTTGAAGGCAGAGCTGGGCTGGACAGGTCCAAGACGAACATCTGCTCGAAATCTAGTTTCTAATAATTCACTTTTCTTTTATTGTATTACTTTATCAAGTGTCTTATGATATGTTGAATTAACAGTTTGTGGGGACCCTTCTCTGTACCTGCTTGGTTGGGATGAAGTCTGTGAAGATATCAGCACAGAAATGACAGATAAGTCAAATAGACCTTTAATTGTAAGTGACTGGCTGTGATTGCATGGCTGACTGCTGTTTACTCATTAATAAATAAGTGGCGTGTTTTTGTTTTAATCACTGTAACCAGCAAGCTCGTGTTGTTGTTGTTGTTCTCGCTGTTGTTGTTGCTTCTGGCAGCCGTTTCGCCCGAATTGAGTCCTTGCCGCTGAGTCGAAAGCCAAGGGCAGACAGAGTACACAATAAGTACGCTCCTGCATATCTAATTACCCACCTGAAGCATCTTTAATTAGAATCAGCAATGCGGGCAACATCTTCAATTAATTGAGTTTATTATTTCATCTGTATTCATTCATTGTTCCGCTGAATGTCATTAGTCATTAGCCATTAGTCAGCTCGGCGACAATGTGAGCATCAATTAGAATAATTGTTCCACATTTAAGGATTCAGTTGAAATAATGTAAATAGCTTTTCGAGATAAGCGAATATGATTCCATATGATATTCTCTATAATTGTATATATTTACATTCTATTCACAGTTCTATTCGAGGCTTTTTAATTAAAGGCAAAAGGTGCCGCCGTTAAGGCGAACTGGTTTCCATTGATAACTAGTTGCGATCGGGGTCGCTATGGCCTCCTTCGATTGCCGGCAATTAGAGATGTTCCCTTTGGGGCCAGAGTGTTCGGCATTCACAGTAACCCAGTAACAGTCACAGTAGCCCCGCCCCAAAAGTGTAGGGGCCATAAAGATTGTTGTTTATTTATCTGCACATTATCTGCATATGTATGTATATGTCTCTAGGGGCAGAGCCACGTGATTGTAGCATGTATTATTTGTACAGATTTTTATAAGTTCCATATACATATGCCTACTCATATGTATATACAAATCAAATAAGACGACTCAGCGGCATATCTATTCAGATATGTGTGCCACACACACTTGAGCCACATATTCAGATGTGGGAGGCCTCGCGCCCTGCTTTTCTGGACTTGTGGGGAATAGTGCGTGAATAAGTTCATTGCTTGATTTTATCAGACACTCAGATATCATCAAGCAGAGGTACGCTCGCTCTTTCACTTCGTTTCAGCTCGTCAACACACATATTTGCGCAATTTCTGTCTATCTCCGGCGCTGCTGAGCTGTTTAATTGCGCATCCCGTCCCATCACTGAGAGCGAAGAGGAAGTGTGTGTCAGGTTCAACATCAGTCGTGTGCCCTGTCCACACCTGCAAGTACACACAGCTGACCTCTTGCTGACATGCTTACAGTGGGACAGACACAGCCGACAGACAGTAGAAATAACATAACGTCACACGCACATGCCCAACTCCGGGCGGGAGTGAGCAGCAAATGTGCAGCAGTGCACTGAAAGGCTAATCATCGACAATAACCAATTGCCTCGGCAGTTAGTTACCTTTCTACCTTTCCGCCTCGACAAACAAACTTCGCATGGCCGAGGAGGAATTGCAAGCGTTCGTGGAGAGCCTGGATGGCGCCTCGGCGGAGAACATTGCCAATGCCATTGCCAACTTCTCGTTAGACATGCTGCAGCGGGCCAGCGCCCTAATTGGCACCCAGCAGCCGCACAGCGGTGCTCTACTTATCAATCGAACCCTGGAGGAGCAGTGCAGGCACCAAGCAGAGCTGGAGAAGCATCTATATAGCAATAGCAGCAGTAATGTATCATCAAATGTCAATTCGGTGAGTGCAGATGGAGTGAACTAATTAAGGTCTTTAAGGACATACAAATACATGGACTGCACTCAATGTTTGAATAGAAACATATAACCAAAAGATAAATAGACTAATATTTAAAGGTTTTGAATAGAATTAACTGAATGTACTTACAAAATGTGGAAAAAGCAATATTAATAGAAATTTATAGATTCATTTTAATGTGTAGTATATATTTTAATTCTAACTCATCATAGGGAATAGGGATTAATTCAAGGTTGTATCACCGACCGATAAAGTCAAACATCAGCTTTTTGAGAAGAGCAAATTAAATGTTTTATATTAAGTATAATATTTGAATGAAAATATATATTCTATTTGTAATCAATTGCGGACATTACCACAAACTGTGACATCATTCAGACCCGATTCGCATGGCTGATAAGGAAGCCCAGTTAAAGTTTAAATCAAAGTGTTCTGGTTACTCGATGATGCACGAATTGTTTTAATATGTTTTACTGCTTTATTTGTTGATAAACAAACACATCGGTATATACAGACAGCCCCTAGCCCCTAGCCAATATCAATGATCGATTATTTATGGCAAGCAATCAAAATTGAGCTTTTTGCTTATTTATTTTGGTTGATTTTAATTGAGATGGGTTGAATTGAAAATATATTTCATGGCCAAAATGAACATTTTTGAATTTTTTAGCACATAAGAAGGCAGTTCGAAACGTCACATGTGGATATAAGATTGGAACAAATAAAAACTAAAAATTATTGAATATCCATTTTAGTTCAGGCCTAAAGATGATAGATAGATTGGCACATTTGCAAACTACCCTCGATCTAATTTTGGTGTAATTTTTTGCTTCCCTTTCGTAATTTGCAAGAGAAACCCAGAATAACATTGCAGTAGTGGGTGAATCGGGAAGATTTTAAGACGTATACATGAGTACATGTTCCAAATACCAAGCTTTGCAAAATTTTCGTTAAAAGTACATAATCGTATTCTGCTAAATATCATTTTACCTTTTCTATTCTGCTACTCATTTCTGTTCGCCTGGTACTTTTCAAAATAGCAGTTCAATTTTTGGTCCTAACGGCCACAAAAGCCTCCCGAAATTATGCAACCATATTTTGCATGAACCGTTAATTTTTGAATATGAACTCCCAGTGAAGAAACCCTGTTAAATAATAAAAAAAAAGTGCGTATATTTAATGATAAAATTATTTATTGTTTTTCAAACTTACACAATTTTTTGTGAGCTATATACATTTTGTTATACAAATATTTATATTTATATGTTTATAATATTTGACAACTTAATACTATCCAGCGTTATTTTTGCTTTGTATCTATATTTCTCCTCCCATCGAAGATGATGATGTCCAACACACTTAGCTGAAGAAAATTTTAGAATACAATACACAGTAAGAGGGCCGAAGAGACTGTTTTGTATGGTATAGACTTATACTTACCTTTACGACTCATGATGAATACTGCAGCTTGCACTTTCTTTAATTTTAAGCTCAAAGCATTATTATCAAACTATGCCATCTATAAAAAACATTTTCTGTCATCATTTTAATAGGATTTGCATTGTCCCACCTCCTTCGATTCGGTGCTTTGCTGGCCCCGCACCAAGGCGAGCAGCTGGGCTGTTCTGTCCTGCTTCGAGGAGTTCAAAGGAGTACACTACGACACAACAGGTGAGAAATGGCTGACTACCCATTCGGAATAGTATCTAAATGGTCTGGTCTCCCCGCTTATAGAGAATGCAACACGCTATTGCCACGCGAATGGCACGTGGAATCACTACTCCAATTACAGCAGGTGCCATCAGCAATCGGGCTCCGTGGCTGATGTTCCCGAGTTCTCAGCCAGCGTCGATCTGCCTGCCATTATCTATGCTGGTGGTTATTTTATAAGTTTTGCAACTTTGGTGGTGGCGCTAATAATATTCCTAGGCTTTAAGTGAGTCGTGGTGCCTGACCGAGCCACCATATAAAACATTTCCTATTAATTTATCTTTGCTGCAGGGACTTGCGCTGTCTGAGAAACACAATCCATGCGAATCTATTTTTAACTTACATCACCTCGGCCCTACTCTGGATCTTAACACTCTTCCTGCAAGTGGTTCGTAGACAGTGCTGAGAATCACATTAAATCAGAGTAACCACCTTAGAGGTATTCCCATCCTTTCCAGATAACCACTGAATCTAGTCAGGCTGGCTGCATTACGCTGGTCATAATGTTCCAATACTTTTACCTGACGAATTTCTTCTGGATGTTTGTGGAAGGTGCGTTTGACGTCTCTTTGCAGTTATCATGAGTTGGCTTAGCCATTATTATTTGCAGGTCTCTATTTGTATATTCTGGTCGTGCAGACGTTCTCCAGCGAGAATATAAGCTTTGTTATCTATGCACTGATTGGCTGGGGCTGTCCGGCTCTCTGTATTTTGGTGTGGTCTATTGCCAAGGCATTTGCATCGCATTTGGAGAACGATCATTTCAATGGTGTAAGAGCGTCATAGGTTTGTATGTTTGCACTGCTGATAACTTATTTATGATAACTCATGTAGCTGGAAATTGAATGCACCTGGATGAGAGAATCTCACATTGATTGGATATTTAAGGGGCCCGCCTCACTGGCGATTCTCGTTAATTTGGTTTTTCTCATACGTATTATGTGGGTAAGTCTTCATTGTACCCATTTTATGGCTTTAACATGAATCGGCACACTTTGTCTTATCTAAGGTACTCATCACCAAATTACGATCGACTCAAACATTCGAAACACGACAGTATTATAAGGCCTCCAAGGCTCTGCTGGTGCTAATACCCCTATTTGGCATCACTTATCTACTGGTGTTAACTGGCCCCGAGCAGGGCATTAGTCGCAATCTCTTCGAGGCACTACGCGCCTTCCTACTCAGCACACAGGTGAGAATGACATGCACTTCAAACGTAAATCTGTTGTCATTCTATGACTCGTTTCTCTCGTATAAGGGTTTCTTCGTGGCGCTATTCTATTGCTTTCTAAACTCGGAAGTGCGGCAGACGTTACGACATCGTTTCGTCATATGGCGGGAGAGTCGAAACATTCATCGCAGTAACTCCCGCAAGAACCGCAGGTGCGTTAACTGCTCGATCAACTTTATAAATGGGTACAAAATGCATAAACGTTCATATAAGCATTCGATCACTATTTATCTGGGTTGTTGTTGTTGTTGTCCTTATCACATCTCATTGGAATTCATTTTGTATTCTTGTTCTCCTCTTTTGCTGTGGCTCGCTGTACTCGCTTAAAAAACTTAATTTCCATTTCAGACATCGCACATCCAAAGACTACTCGCAGCGCTCGCGTACTGAAAGTCTACGGTGCGTATACGCAATTTTCCCGCTTAATATTGTAAATGCATCTTGCCCCTTACCGACTCGCCTCTTTCACGTTTCGCTTCAACTAACCCCTACTAAAAGATGCATGAATAATTTATTTTTATACTCGTTCACGAAGCTGTGTAGATTGGATAATAGTTTTATAGTATGTCCGTCTGGGAATCCATCTATTTTTATCACAGTAAGATACAAATCTATATGCACATTGTTACTGTGTACAGTTTTAGAACAAAATCTAAAAGTGTTGCAGGTTATTCTCTTTTCACTTTTACAGAGAAACGCATAACTGATTTATAGTAAATTTACCTTTTTTTATACCCTGAACCCATTGAAAATGGGAAATCAGGGTATAATGGTTTTGTGAAAAAGTATGTAACGGGCAGAAGGAGGCGTGGCAGACCCCACAAAGTATATATATTCTTGATCAGCGTGACGAGCTGAGTCGATATAGCCCTGTCCGTCTGTCCGTCCGTCCGTCCGTCCGTCCGTCCGTCCGTCCGTCCGTATGAGTGCGTCGATCTCAGAAGTTATAAGAGCTAGAGACTTGAAATTTGGCATGCATACTCGTGAGTACCATACGCAGTACGAGTTTGCTTTATTTTTTCGATAAATCGTCCGATAACTTTTTTATCGAGAATAATCGAAAAATTGATTTTGTTTTTTCAGTCTAATTTGAACATTTTTAGACCTGGAGTCTTCAAATTTGGGTTGTATATAAAGTTAATGGATATAAAGATTTTGTAATTTACAGATTTTGGATACCACGCCCCCTTCGCCCCCAATTTGTAAAAAACGCATTTCAAGTACTAGAGACTTGTGCTTTGGAATGTACACACGTATTCACCATATAATTACGCTCTGAAAGTTTCATTAAGATCTTATGTCTACAAAAGAAATTATTCAACAAATAAATTCTCATAATATTGCCCACACTGCAGCGCAGCCCAAGCGCAGTCGCTGCTTACTGCGCAGTTAGCAGAGCGCAGGCTTATGCGTGCGTGTGGATGCATGTGTATGTGTGTGTGCATAAAAGTGCAGAATGATTAGAATATCAGCTTAGAGGGTTCAGGGTATCTCCTAGTCGAGCAGTCTCGACTAGAGCCTTCTTACTTGTTTTTACTGTGAACGAGTATGAAGCCTAATATATTTTATTTGTACTATTTTTAATGGATTTTAATTTATTGTTTTTTACCGTACACTTTTTATCATTTTTGTAGACTGACCTCGACAAGTCCCGTGCCCGCTGGACATTTAGAATGATACCTATGTATATACCGAACGCCATTGAGATTTCTTTTTAAATACCTACATATATTAGTGCAAAATAAACATATATATTTGTATGTACATATAAACAAAATATATTTGTATATAAGTATTGTATTGAGCAGACTATTAAAGTATTAACTTTTGTAAAGTATAGCGCACCGATTTATTTATTCAACTTCAAACTATATCAATTACATCAATCCCGATCTCTTACAGCACCGAGGAGTGTGTGATCTGCCTGAGACCTTCACTTCACACTCGCATTGGATCATTGAATCGCTTTCAAAGCATAGACTTAACCGATTTTGTCTAAAATAAAAGCTAAAAACAAATTACAAATTTATATCTGAAAAAAAAAAAAAATTAAATGAATTTCCTAATTTCATTTGCCAGCCAAGATTCTCAATGTGAATAAGGATTTTGATTTTACGTTTTATATTTTGTTGAAAAAGTGACTTGAAGTTACAGCAAAATGTTTAGAACTAACGTATAATTTTTTAGTTTGCAAATTCTTTGTTAAGTACAAATTAAGCTTAAACATAATTTATTTGGATCAACTAAGATTAGATCAGATGAGTCTACACAGTGCAGCAATCATTAACAAATATTTAGAGTCGGGTCAAGTCAAGATGTCGCCAAAAAGATGCCAAATTATGGGAATCGAGTCGTCGTCAATGGATTGTTGCACTGTGTTGCAGCTTTCCTATAATTGTCATAACTGTTATTAAAAATTAGCTATTAGTTTCCTAGTTTCCTCTTGTTCTTATTGTGTTCAATAACGTGCCAATGCGTGCAAAAATTTGTTGGTACAATTATGATTACATATACTATATGAGTGTATATTAACCCTAGGCCTTTCTTCTTTTATTTTTTAATTTTTATAATTTATGATTTTTGTTTTTTGTCCGCTTCCTATTTATTTATTTTTCCATAAGGTCACATTGTTTGTATCACTGATAATGTAATTTAAAATAATCCTATTACGAAATGAAACATAAAACAATTTGCTGTCACACAATATCATGTATACGTATGTATGTATGTATACTAGTCATGTTCTTTTCTTGTTGCTGTTGTTGGTATCTTGCCTTTCATGTTTTGCGAATAAAGCTTTTAAAATATCAAAATTTGTTCTTCTTCATTCATTTGTTCTTCTTCATTCATTAGATTAACGTTGTAGTCTACGCTAAGAATGCCTTACTAAGTATTTACTGTATATACCTGTTGTGTGCATCTGAGTGTATGAAATCTACGAATTCCCTATATATGTATATTAGCTAAAAACTATCACTGTCTCACTTACAAATACTTCCTAATCAATTGCCAAAACATTAAAAGAAACAAAAAACTAAAATGTGGGCCATTACGTATGTCTGTGAGACAGTGCTGGCAGCTACCTTTAGTTAAAACAGGACAGATGTATACAAAAAGAGTCAACAATTTGTTTTACTATCAATGGAATATTCTTACTATCGATTTTTAAAGAGTATGGATCTGTCCGATAAAGGCCTGATGACAGCACTGGCATCTGAGTATGTGTGTGTGCGTATGATTCGACAGAGTTTAACTGAAATGTAACTATATCGAAATTAAATTCGTGATTACGTATGGCTGTTGGAGCCAGAAACCACTTGGTCGTATAATGTCTTTCAAATGAGTCGCCTCCTTAGCTTACTTCGCTTCCTAATGCATTGGTTTAGTGGACGCTTAATATGTAATGTAATAATAAAAAATAACAATTACACTATCAACTAATTAACGCACAGAGTGGGGGGAGATGGGGCACCGTTTCATTTACATAATATATCAAATGCACTCGCCGGGATTCTGCGCGCAGTACTTGGGAAACAGCGCCTCGGCTTTGATGCCCAACTCAACAAGACGATTTCTAAACACTGAGATTCGTCGAAATACTTCTGGGGGCACAACATCGAAGTCATGATCATCATTAGGATCTGACCACAGACGTTCGGCAAGGGCAGCAACGCGCGGCCACAATCGATTATCCAGCTGACCCTCATCCACTTGCTCGGTCCATAAGCAAGCCTCGCCACCCAGCACCTATTGAGGCAATCATTTGTTATCTACATTATTTGCAAATGGAACACAAGTCGTCTATAATACCTGCTTTCGGCGCTTCTTATCCAGACGCATTCGCTCCCAAGGCCGGTGCTTATAAACGTTTTGCCAAGTGCGATAAGGCGAACAAGCGGCATCGCCAGTAGCTCGCCAGCTGCCGAAGCCGCAATCCAAATACCAAGCATCCACGTGCGAAAATATAATATTGTATCCATTGTCCAGCAGATCATAGTTCTCCTGCCAAGTGCTGCCACCCCACACCTGAACCACGAATTGACTGTTTGGAAGACACTTGGTGTTTGTCAGCGCACTCGACCAGACAACCACATGCTTGGGCGCAACATTTCCATTGGCCACTTTCAGTCTGTGTCGGATCAAAATCAAAATCAAAATTAACAATTAACATGCCTAACCGAGTTCCATGTGGCTCACCTCGCATTGGATTGTAGCATGAAGTCGCACCACAGGCCGCGTAGATCCGTATCATTGAAATACTGGGCCCAGCAATCGAGATTCACCTCATCGCCGCCCAGGTGAAAGATGTCCGTGGGCCCCGTTAGCTGCAGAAACTCTTCGTACAGGCGCTGTAGTATGAGGTAGGTGTGGTTATTCTTCGGGTTTAGTTGACCGCACGGTGGTTCACCGCAATAAAAGCTCCATGGCTGCTGATTAATGCATAGCGACAATTCGCCAAGGCCCCGCTTGGGTCCCCAGTCCCAGCCGTTGCCCGCATGCGCAGGTGCATCGATTTCCAGGAGCACCTGCACGCCAAAAATTTTGGCATACTCGGTGACCTCACGCACGTCCTGCTCGCTGTATGTTTCACTGTCCGAGTAGGCGCCGTGCTCAGCCAGCTCCGGATAATGTCGTGAAATATATGGAAAGCTCTGAGCATCCGTTATGTGCCAATGAAAGCGATTCAGCTTCGCCAAGCCCATTGCCGAAATGGTGCGTTTAATGGCATCCACGGAAAAGAAGTGCCTAGAGGTGTCCAGCATAAGGCCGCGATATCGAAACTTGGGCGCATCATTGATCAAGGAGCTGGCATAGGTGCACAGCAATCGCTCCTCATCGTCATACCAAATTAGCTGCTGCAGCGTGGCCAGTCCGTGACGTGCGCCAAAGAATGACTTGGCCCTGATGTGCACAGTCAAACGCCGATGCTCAACTGTCATTAGAGAGATAGAGACAAAGGGTTACAAAGGAGAACTAACAGTAAACGATTCTAAATATTAGATTTCCTTACAGCTTGTTGCTAGCTCATAGCTCTCATCGTTGTCAAGATTAAAGTCGAGCTCGCCTGACTCATGCACCGAGAGCTTCACATGCAGGCTATCCAGATCGCCAGACCGGTGTGAGCCAAAAGTGGAGCTAAAAAGTCCGCTAGCTAGCGGCGATGCAGCACCGTCTGTAGATTTCGAAGCTGGCTCGCTGACAGATGATATTTCCTCTGCACGCGGCGCTGCGTACTCCAGCTGCTGTATTTGCCGCAATTGCCTGACAAGCACATCAAAGGCCAACTTGAGGCGCTTGCGTACTTCGCGATGCGGCGTATCCAGCCGCAACTGTACATCCTCCACGGAGAAGCGGAGCGTGTGACCGCTGACCAGCGACTTGGAGGTGGGATGAGGCCAAATGTTAATATCTCCACAGGTCATTGAACAGCTGATGAAGGAGACACGCTTCACGTTGGCTCCGTTCTTGTTATAATTAACGCGTACACATCTGTCATTGTCGCATTTATAGGTCCATGACTTTTCCAGCGGTCTAAGAAAAGAGAAGAAATTCGTTTAATTTAATTGTACCTATTGGAATGAGCTGAGATTGCTATACTTACATGGGAGCCGAACTGCGATCCTTCTGGAGGTGTGGACGCAGCTGTGCTTCATTGTAGGACTGTGTCTTAATCACGCCCTGATTCCAGTACAGCACTGTCAGAATGAAAATGGCTCCTGAGAGTAACAGCAGCAAGGCACGGCGTAGGGAGACGGCCAGTGACATCTTAAACAGATAACGTAGGCTATAAAACAGAAACGGAAGCATTTGCAAAATATTTAGTAAACACCAAATGAAGATTCAATGTTAATCGGCAAAAGAAGTTCTTGTCAAGTGTACTCGACAGCAATTAACTCCTTAAAAATAGAAAATATCCAACACCAGAACTTAATACTACATGTCATCCTTCTCATCATCGTTCAATCAAGAGCTCACGCCACAAACAGGCCGCAGCAACAAATCAAGGAACACATTGAATTTTAATTACCGCCAGTAATTTGGCTGATGATACTAAACTGAACGGGGCTTAACAATCAATAAAATCAAAGGAAACCCCTTCTCAGTTTCACTCTCCTTGCGGGAGTAAACTTGCTTTGGCTTTTACGACACATAAAGCCCATGGGCAAATTGTTTGTCTTTCATATATAGCATCTGGCACGCAATGCATGGCAGCAGCAGAACTCGCTTTCAGGTTCCATTTTCCTTTTTGGCTTTACTGTTTGTGTGTGCCACATAATGGCGAATGAAAAACGGTTATAAAATATCCCAAACTGAGCAAATAGGTCTCACCATATACATTTCAAGAGTTATAGTTACCCTGAACTAATGTGACTGACCAGAAAATGCCATTTCTTTCGTTGCATGGCCAAGAACGAATGCCGTAACAATGTTTCAGAAATGCAACTATATAGCACATTATCGTCTATACATTTATTGAAATACGAATGTGATGAAGTTTTAAGCAGAGACAGCCTTTGGCAGTGGCAATGTGTTGGTTGGCTTCTATTTCGGATATTAAAACCAAATCTTAGGTACTATCTGAGCTCTTAAATAATATTATATTGGTAGTCAAAACAGTAAAAAGTACAACATTATATAGCCACTAATACATACACATGTTGAGCAAGTTAAGATGACCCATTTGCAACCAATTAAGAAGCTCTAATTAAGTAATTTAAATGTATTAACAGCCCACGACACATCCGCCCTTGTTTGTGTTTGCAAATCAAGTCAATATTGTTGTTGAACGTATGGGTTAAAGTCTCCCAAAGACAAACACCAAACAATTTAGACCGCACGGACATGTTTAATAGCAGGACCTTCGAGGCTTCATGTCTGCTGACTAATGACTAATGACTAATGTCGCTGACACACTGAGCGTATTGTGCACAATTGCTGGACTCTCCCGTTGCCCCACATCAACCTGGACACGCCCTTTCGTGCATGTTCAGCGGGGCTACTAACTGAAATATTAGTTGAATTACTGCTCATGCAGCGTGCTAGCGTAAATACATAAATATGCTATGCTATGGCTGGTCAATGAAAGAGACTCCTGTCCACGTGCCACAGAGCATACAGTTTCTGTGTTGCGAGTGTGAGTTTCTCAATTGCGAGTGTCAAACACTCACAGGTAGGGAAAACGTGCTACTGCACATGGAAGCACGTGGAGTACGGAGCGTAGAAAGTGACGAGTGTGTTAAATTCATAAAGAAACAAGTGCACCTTTTTGGGGGCATCGTCGGCATTACGTCTGATGGCCTGTGCATAATAAATCAAGAGGCATACATCGTTAATGCATAAGAAAGAAGAAAGGCAATCGGTGGCTGCCTCATTAGCTGTCGCCAGTGCTGCTGATTTAGCCATTTTCTGAGCGGATCTCAGCCTTTGTTAACTG